TGGAACAACAGCTGGAACATGTTCTACAACCTTCTTAACGACTGGGGTTGAGATGTACTTCTTTTCGACTCCATGAGCGTAGATTGGTTCAACAACGCTAGCGTGTCCATGAACGACTGATGAGCTATGATGTGAGACTCCAGTTGGGACATTTTTGTATGCTGTTCCTACATGGCTGACTGTTGGGGTTTCAACGACTGAAACATGTGGTTCAACAATAGTCTTTTCGTAGGCAACTGAAGCTGGAACATATCCTGCGAATGCAGCAGCAACTAAACATGACAACACCACCAATTTGAACATTTTGAATTAAGTTTTTTTGTGTAAAAGGTCTGTGTTGGATATAACAAATTGAATTCTACTAACTGAATGATACAATTTGATCAAAGTATTCTACCTTTTATACTTCATATGATCATATTTTCCGGATCATTATTGTGTACGTGAAACAACAAAAAGAGTAATTTTGGTTGGTGGCAAGAAGCAAAGCAGCTAGTGGTTAGTATTTGTTTCTTTTTTCCTTACTTTAATACATTCAAGTCTATGAGAACTAGCCTGTGTTGCTCAGTTTTGTCTCACACACATGTGAATCAAACTTATGCTTGTCGTTGTACTTTTTTCTCTCTCATAAATGTATTGAGTTAGATCAATCGAGAAGTAGAGAGAGGAGGATATGCCGCCACATAGTGAAGGAGCTACACATTGTTTTGCCCACGAAACAAAAACAAAACAAAAAAAAAATTGTTTATGTTGCATCAGAAACTTCACATTACTGGCTGCTGGCAATGAATAGGCTAAATGTGAATATGTGAGTTTAAAGTGGACATACATTATTAGTTTGTTTCTATATCATATTTATTGTTCCATGAGCCATGGCTTTATAGATTCAACATATTTCAAAATAATTGCATTGAAGAAAAATAGTTGGGGGGTCATTCATCAATGAAGTCTAATAATAAGGGGGCTGGAAGGAGTCTCAAAGACAAAAGATATTAAAATGTTGAAAAAGAGTATGTGGGATCAATTTCTCCTCTGACATCATTTTTAAATGGGACCTTTTGTTGCAGAAATTTCTTCGAATATGCATAGCTATTTAATGAATAAAATAATAAAGTATTTTTTATGTTTTTGAATGGAACGAGGCAAAAACCAATGCACAGCAACGAAAGAAATTGTCTCACATTTGGCTAGAAGAAATGCAGTTACTTAATACACAGAGATCACCTTACATGAATAACAATAACATTATATCGTGATATAAATATTGCAATTAAATATATTGGCACATAATGCAATGGCAATTACCCAGCAAACTATCAAAAAAATACTCTCCGATAATTTTTTTCAAGTCAATAAAATATTAATTTACAATTTCAAGCCTCATTTGACATGCCTGTGAAAATGAAGTTGTTAAAAGTTGAGCGTCCTTAAAAGAAATACGATAATGAGTGATCAAACGACCCAAAATGAGATAAAAATTGAAAATCATACAGACAAATTATTTCTGCATTTTTTATTACTTCTTCTTCGGACTGTCCTTCAACATTCTATCGAACCACAAAATACGCATGAACTGCCAGCCAGCCTATCTTGTGAATTCTTTGCGTATACGGAAAAAGTAATAATTTTGTTTTTCTCTCAGTTACGGAATAATTGCCCATGAATGGACAGAAATAATGCAAAGTAGAAGTAACATAATAATAAGAAACCAGCACGAAATTGATTGTGAATGATTTGTATTGGCGCTTTTTTTTATGTGGAATGCTTAAAAAAACATGATTTTATGGGTCAGAGAATTATTTCTACGGAAAAGAGATTAATTGTTTTAATATGAAAATGAGAAGTGACATTGTTCTCGCTTCATTTTTATGACTTAAGATTTTGAAATTGTTTATTGTACTCGTGGGGAACTCTATTGTACTATTCCTTACACATATGTTACAGTTAGAATCAAGTAATAATAATGTGTGAAGGGCCCAGCCTTTCAGCTGGAGGCACTGCGATTTAAGAATCTATTGTACCATATTCTTTAGACCTTCAGTTTATAGTGGAATCCGAACCACTTGCAAGCTCAAGCAGCTGTTAAGTGCCTGCAGCTTGGTTCTTAGTATTTGCACGCAAAAAAATATGTTTCATCCAAGAATCTAAAGTTATACCTGAAGCTGCTTAACGTCTAATATTAACTTCAAGCTTGCTGCTTAATTGCTCAACTCAAATTAAGATGATGTGACCTTGATGAATAGCAATATATAAAGCTCCAGTTATTGCAGGAAATTCAAAACTTAACCGGCTAAACTTCTTCACGACTTCAATCACTAATAAATTAATATTTAAGTGACATTCCTGAATCTAATTAAAACTTGGAGTCACGAGAAAGTAAAAAAGTTTCAATCTAGAACTGTCTGTTCACCAGCTAGAGACAAAATGCTGATATTTTCATCAACTTCCTTAGTAAATATTTGCATACTTAAAAATCATGTTGAATCAATGGCTAAGAAATTTATTTTATTGAAGTCAATCAGGAGCTGAAAAGAAGAATAAAAGACTTGTGGTATAAGAGTTCAAAGAAGTAAGAAGTTGAGTAGGTTTTAATGTGAATATAATTTTTTTCCTATCGCCTTGACTTTGCTACCGCAACACACGACACAAAGCATACGTATTTGTAATTTGGACATACCTCATGCATTCATATTGTTATATACCTTATAAAAATGCAATGCCTCTTAATGAGTCATTAATAATATTTCTAATGCCACACTGACTGTAAAGAAATATGAAAATTTTGAAAGAATCAAAACATGCCCAAATATTTCTCGCTAGGCTATCGCTCGATAGGGAGAAGCAGAAAATCAAAAAATTACAATTTTCTTGCACAATTTTTCATGATTGTTACAATTAAGGAATTAGTATGTGATATTTTTTTCTTTGAGCAACAAAATTCCTTGCTTCGAATTTTTATTGCATTAATTATTTTATTTTTCTTCTTTATTCAATGTCATCTGCAAATAAAGTACTTGTTGTTGGATTATTTTTATTTAGTGTTATAAGTAGAGCTGGCAAGCTATAAATTCGACATGAACAATATTCAATTAAACGTCTAAATGACGATTGCTGTCTATATAATTTTTCTTCATCGTTCACATCGTTTTATAGCGCATTTTCGAAACTTGTTTCTAAAAGGTAGCTTAATATCTCATTTTGTCTGTTCGTTCGGGCGGAGAAAAACTTTTTAACTAGACATCGTAGAGAGTTCTAGTTTGTTTTAATAGCTCAGGTCCATTGTTTTATTTTCGGGAAATGCATTTAAAAGTCTTGAAACAGTGTTTTTGGACTATAATTAATGATTTTTATATTTCATATGATAAAACACGTGATGAGAGCGTTTAGAAATTCGAATTTATTTCTACCGTTGAAAAATTTTAAATCTCAAAAAACCGTTAAATTACCAAGCCTTTTTATATGAAATTTTTTTTGCAACAGACTGTTATTTATACTATAATTAATGCTTTTACTGTAATTTTTGGCAAGCTACTTTCAAATGTATACGACCATTACAAATTTTGAACTTCAGAAAACCGTTAAATGGTAAACAATTTATATAGGAGAATGAAAGATATTAAATTGATAAATATACTATAATTAATGATTTTTTGTATATCTTTTGGCGGGAAACTTTCAAAAACTTACTGACCGTTAGAAAATTTGAATCTCAAATAATCGTTAAATGATAAACTTTTTATATGTTGAAATTCATTGGAACAAATTATCAATTATACTATAGTTATTGTTTTTGAAGTGCAACTTTAAGCGGGAAAAATGTCAAATTATTTTTTGACCGTTAAATAACAAAGCCTTTCTATATAAGCATTCATTGTAATTATTTGCTAATTGCACCAAAATGAATGAACTTCTAATCTTCTAATGATCTGTAAATGAACGCAAAATAAAAAGATAATCAAATACTGATCGTTAACACAAAAATGCGCTTAAGTCCCTCGATCAATAACACGAGGACGTCTGTAATTTTTTTAGTCAAATAAATGCTAAATCTTTTTTAATGAATAATAGTTTGTGTGAAGTTTTTCGTAATACTACTTCAGCTTGTCGCTTGTCCTCTTTTGAAGTCTAATGGTTGTGTTTTTGCATACAGATTTATGACACTGTGTACAATTTAACATTATTATTATTGGCTAGTGCATGATCTCTTTAATAGCCACAGCTTTATTATATTATTTGCATGCCGCGGACATCGTTAAACTGCAAGTAATTTTTTTTATGAAAGAATTGGAATCAAAATTAATTATTTTCAAAATTGCTAAACGGTTAAAAATGATTTGAAAATTCTACTAAGTTCAATTTTTTTGAATTTTTACCGTTAGAGTTCAAAATTCAGATGATTTCAATTATTCAAATATTTTCGGCAGTTGAATGTTTAGAAATCTTGGAGATGTCCAGAGCATGAATGCATTTCAATGAAGCTTCAATATTGAAAATGAAGGATATAAAAACGAAGTGGAGGAGGAAGAAACAAACATAAGAAAACGAAGACGAGAAATTAATATTAGTAATGAGAAAAATTGAGAAATAATTTCGAGTATAGTACTTTTGTGATGCAACGTGTACTGCAATAAATAATTCAGTCACTTTATATCCTATTTTAATGCATATTTTAATCTACGTGTCCAATTGAATTTGGAGCAACTTTGTATGGAAATAAACTTAGTGGAACAACGGCGAATATACACAGCAACAACAATTCAACCTTGCAAGGTTTCAGCTTTGTAGACAATTATTGTTATTATACAAATAAATATTACGATATTAACGTCAGCCTCAGCACGTTTGAATTACAAGATTCATGAGGCGAGGTGGCGAGATTCTTTCATAAATTAAACTCGTTCTAATTCTCGTTTCAATCGATCTATTCGTTGATCTCATTATCATGCAAAAAAAGCAAGCTTCGGCGGCAATTGACAGCAACTCCGACTCTTCCTACTGTATTCTATTGACGATTCTGTCGATAAGTATAAAAGGAATCATCAGAATCGAAAAATTAGTCAATTGTTAATTAAATTTTGAGACAAAAAAAATGAAATCAATCGTTATTCTTTTTGCTGTGTTTGCCTGCACATTAGCAGCTCCACAAGTTTCTGTTGTTGCTACAAGTCCACTTGTATCAGCACCATTGCTAACAAAAGTTGAAGGTGAAGCTCCAGCATCTACTGTTCATGCTGTCCATACAAAAGTCGTTCCACAAGTCATAGCATATAGCGTTCCAGCTCCCATTGTTCATCATGCTGCCCCAATTGTTTCAGCACCTGTCATCTCAGCATACAGTGCATTTCCAGTAGCTCCTTTTGTAAGTTGTCCATAAATTCATAAACAAGACTATTCATACAAATAATACAGAAATGACATTAAAGAAGCAATTCATTCATTCTCATGTCAATCTTTTATTCATGTTTAACATTTTTAAGATCAATTGTTTAATTTTTTTCCTTCTTCTTGCTTGTTTTCTCACAGGCTCATCACTCTGCCTACAGAATTGTCTACTAAAGCATGTTGATATGATTAACGGTCGGAAATTATTTAAAAATATATCAAAAGTATGAACAACTATCATCAAATGGTGAATAAATCTTCGCAAGCAATAGACTTATAGATCTGGAATTAATTTTGATGCAATAGACTCATATTGAAAGTTAATAAAACAAACTTTTTTACATGAGAAGCATGTCTACATTTTCTGTTTTTTTTTTTTATTTTACATAAGGGGCCGTTCACTTATTACGTTCGCATTTTAGGGGGGAGGGGGGGGGGGGGGGGTTGAAAATTTGTAAAAAAATGTAACATAAGGTGGGGGGGGGGGGGTGTCAAGAAGTATGTAACGTTCCAACTGTCGTCTGTCTTTTAAAAAAAAGTTCACGAAAATTCACACCAAAAACATTTTTTCAAATTTTCCACCTTTTTAATGATAAAATAAATTATGAACGTTCAGCGGGGGGGGGGGGGTTGTGAGTTGTAACATATTGTAACAAGGGGGGAGGGGGGGATGAAAAAAGTCGTTTTTTTGCGTAACGTAATAAGTGAACGACCCCCTACTATTTTCAGCGCAGTTCAACAAACAGGTACTTCAAGGGTTATAGAGCATTCTCTTACATTTTGATTTTGATAAACTTTCTAGCGCTTAAATATTTGGAATTTTCTCACAAACTTTTAAACGACATGAAGTTGTATACCATTCGAGTAATTCAAATATTACGTGACACAAAAACTTGATTTGTCGACCCCTCTCAATCCTTTGTTTTGAATTTCACTGAGAAAAAACCTCAACCCCTTAAAAAGCGTTACGTAATAAGTGAACTTTCCCATTCATAAATGTAAACATTGAAATTTCGTGAAACTTGAAATAAAAACTCTAGAAAGTTACTAATTATCGATAAGTCAAGGCATAATCTTTAGATATTTTTTTGTCAACTGTAAGTTTGTAACATGCAAGGTTTATTAAATTATCAAAGAACACAGAATCTTTAGGTTTATAGTGAATTTCGATCTGAAATACTGCATAACCTTTGAGAAAAATGCCTGCAATAAATAATGATGAGTTTTGGTACGATAATAAGACATTAAGAAAGCCTATAAAGCCACTGGAGGTAAATAATCAATCAACAGAATCAATTTCAAATACTAAAATTAAAATATTTAATTGTTTAGGAAAAATGGAAAATTGTTCCTGCATTTTTGGCTGTAAAAGGTCTTGTTAAGCAGCACATTGATTCCTTCAACTATTTCGTCAATGAAGACATCAAGAATATAGTAAAAGCCAACAATAAAGTTATTTCCGATGCAGATCCTTTGTTCTACCTGAAATATCTGGATGTTCGTGTTGGAAAGCCGGATGTTGAAGAAGGTTCAAATATGTCTAGCAAACAGACAACTCCAAATGAGTGTCGTCTGAGAGATCTAACATATTCAGCACCAATTTATGTAGATATAGAATACACGAGAGGAACACAAAGAGTTGTTCGAAAAGACTTGCTGTTGGGCAGGTAAATTATGATGCTATAAATATGCATAGACTGTAAATAACTTAAATATATTTAATGAATTTTAGAATGCCAGTTATGCTTAGATCATCGCATTGTGTATTAAGTGGAAAAACAGAGCATCAGTTGTCGACAATGAATGAGTGTCCACATGATCCCGGTGGTTATTTTATCATTAGAGGAGCTGAAAAGGTAATTTTGATTCAGGAACAAATGTCTTGGAATAAAATGATTACGGAAAATAACGGTTCACAAATTCAGTGTCAAGTAGCTAGTTCCACTCATGAGAAGAAGTCTCGAACGAATCTTATAACAAAACATGGAAAATACTACTTGAAACATAATTCAATGACTGAAGAAATTCCAGTTGCAATTGTGTTTAAAGGAATGAATGTTGTGTCTGATCAAGAAATAATGCAATTAATTGGAACCGATTCAGAAACACAGAAACGTTTTGCACCGTCTTTAATGGAAGCAATTGAGCATAAAGTTTTCACACAAAAGCGAGCACTAGAATACATGGGATCGAAATTGGTAACAAAAAGATTTGTTACTGCTTCGAGTAAATACAAAACGCCTGCAGATGAGGCAAGAGAATTGCTTAGTTCCACAATATTGGCGCACGTTCCTGTCGATCAATTTAATTTCCAAATGAAAGCACTATATTTGGCATTAATGGTTCGTCGTGTTATGGAAGTGGAAATAAATCCAAGTTCTATTGATGATCGTGATTATTATGGAAATAAGCGTTTGGAATTGGCAGGATCACTTCTCTCATTGATGTTTGAGGATCTTTTCAAAAGATTAAATTGGGAATTGAAAAGCATAGCTGACAAAAATATTCCAAAAGTAAAGACTGCACAGTTTGATGCCGTTAAACATTTACGAGCAATTTTGATAACATCAGGATTAGAATCGGCAATATCTAGTGGAAATTGGACTATTAAACGTTTCAAGATGGAAAGAGCTGGCGTCACACAAGTTTTATCTCGATTGAGCTATATAAGTGCTTTGGGTATGATGACAAGAGTCAATTCACAATTTGAGAAAACCAGAAAAGTCAGTGGTCCACGTTCATTGCAGCCAAGTCAATGGGGAATGCTTTGCCCATCAGATACTCCTGAAGGTAACATAACTTGCTTTAAAAACGAAATTAACATTTTTAATGGCTTTTTAATATTTAAATTTTAACGGCTTTGTAAATTTCAAATTCTTTTCATTCTTAAGTTTGAATTCTACAAAACCGTTAAAATTCAAATTCAGTAAAACCGCTAATTCTTACTACAACCTTAAGACTAAAACATCTCTTTAATATCCTTTCAGGTGAAGCATGTGGTCTGGTAAAGAACTTAGCTTTGATGACACACATTACAACAGAATGTGATTCGTCTTCAGTCGTTCGTCTAGCATTTAATTCGGGCGTGGAAGATGTAAAATTACTTGGAGGTGATATTATTCATCAAGAAGGAGTCTTTATTGTTTTCCTAAATGGTAACATATTAGGAGTAACTCATGCTTATCAACGACTTATTAATATCTTTCGTACAATGCGACGTCGAGGATGTATTGGAGCTTTCGTTTCAATTCACGTATCTCATTCTAAAAAGAGCGTCTTTATTCATACAGATGGTGGTCGATTGTGTCGTCCATACATCAATGTTTTAAATGGACTTCCTTTAGTCAAACAAAATCACATTGAGGAGTTGAAAATTGGAACAAGAAAGTTTGAAGACTTTTTGGATGAAGGATTGATTGAGTTCTTGGACGTAAATGAAGAAAATGACTCATTTATAGCTATTAGTGAAAAGGATTTAGATCCATACAAGACTACACATTTAGAAATTGAACCATTTACAATTTTGGGTGTTTGTGCAGGTTTAGTTCCATATCCACATCATAATCAAAGTCCACGTAATACATACCAATGTGCTATGGGTAAACAAGCGATGGGTGTTATTGGATATAATCAAAGGAATCGAATTGACACACTTATGTATAATATCGTATATCCACAAAGTCCAATGGTACGCTCGAAGACAATTGAATTGACAAATTTTGATAAACTTCCTGCAGGACAGAATGCTACAGTTGCTGTTATGAGTTATTCTGGATATGATATTGAAGATGCTTTGATTCTTAATAAAGCAGCAATTGATCGTGGATATGGACGATGCTTAGTCTACAAAAGCAGCAAATGCACAGTTAAACGTTATGCTAATAGGACATACGACAGGATCATGGGACCAATGAAGGATTTGTCAACAGATAAAATTATTTTCAAGCATGAAGCTCTAGATTCCGATGGAATTGTTAGTCCAGGTGAAAAAGTCGTCAATAAAATGATTTTGATTAACAAAGAAATGCCAACTGTAACCTCATCAAATCCCGTGGAACAAAAAGATGCAGCACCGCAAACAATGTCATTTATTCCCGTTCCTGTTTCTTACAAAAATGTTGAGCCAAGCTACATTGAAAAAGTCATGGTCAGTGCCAATTCTGATGAAGATTTTCTCATTAAAATTTTATTGCGTCAAACGCGTCGTCCAGAAATTGGAGATAAATTCAGCAGTCGTCATGGACAAAAAGGTGTTACAGGACTAATTGTTGAACAAGAGGATATGCCTTTTAATGATTTCGGAATGTCACCTGATATGATTATGAACCCTCATGGTAAGTAATAAGCTTTTATGAACTTGTACCACATTTTTTCTTGAGCCTGTAAAATTAATTAAAACAAACTTAATTCAAGGTTTCCCATCTCGTATGACAGTTGGAAAGACATTGGAACTATTAGGAAGTAAAGCGGGTGTACTGCAAGGAAAATTTCATTATGGAACAGCATTTGGTGGGTCTAAATGTAGCGATTTACAGGATGAACTCTTTGAAAAAGGATTCAATTATTTGGGCAAGGATGTTTTCTATTCTGGTATAACTGGCGAGCCGTTAGAAGCATACATCTATTCAGGACCTGTTTATTATCAAAAATTAAAGCATATGGTTCAAGACAAAATGCACGGAAGAGCTAGAGGACCTCGAGCAGTTTTGACAAGACAACCGACTCAAGGACGTTCACGTGAAGGAGGTTTGCGTTTAGGAGAAATGGAACGTGATTGTTTAATTTCTTACGGTGCATCAATGCTTATTATGGAACGTCTTATGATTTCATCTGATGCATTTGAAGTCGATGTCTGCAATCAATGTGGTCGTTTAGCTTATTCAAGTTGGTGTCACAATTGTCGATCGTCAACTAATGTTGCGAAAATTGCAATTCCTTATGCATGCAAATTACTTTTTCAAGAACTAACAAGCATTAATGTTATTCCGAAATTAAAACTTAAAAATTATTAAATTTTTAAAAACTGAAAAAATTTTGGAATAAAAATGGAAAAAATACTGAATTTAAAAGTTTTTTTTTTCTTATTTTGAGATTAAACGCCAAATTGAGGATCTTATTGCTTACAACATAGTGAATTTAAAACCAACAATGGAATTTTAATTAAAGGTAAGATGTTTATGAAGTTATTTTGATTTAATTTTATATTTCATAGTCTCATTTGACTATTTGTCAACACCTCATTCGAGTGTAATTGCATTGCTTTCACAAGAATCAAAAGACGACAAATTTCAATTCTTAAAAAAGCTATTAATTACTGTGTATGTAAAACTATCCATTTAATATAAATTGTCCTATAAATAAGAAAACTTTCAAGGCACCACGGGTTTCTTCATAGATCAAGCCTGAGATACGCTTGACACCACCACAACGAGCTAAACGACGAATAGCTGGCTTTGTGATTCCTTGGATGTTATCACGAAGAACTTTACGATGACGCTTTGCACCTCCTTTTCCTAAACCTTTTCCTCCTTTACCTCGGCCAGTCATTTTGTATTTTCAATATAGTTTTTACTTCTTTAGATTTTAAAACATATCTAGGTATTATAAATGATAAAAAATGCTAATATAGATATAAAATCAATATTTTTTTGAAAATAGCCTACTATGATCAAAACCAAAAATGCTTTAAATTGCATTTTAAAACATATCTAGGTATTATAAATGATAAAGAATGCTAATATAGATATAAAATCGATATTTTTTTGAAAATAGCCTACTATGATCAAAACCAAAAATGCTTTAAATTGCATTTTAAAACATATCTAGGTATTATAAATGATAAAGAATGCTAATATAGATATAAAATCGATATTTTTTTGAAAATAGCCTACTATGATCAAAATCAAAAATGCTTTAAATTGCATTTTAAAACATATCTAGGTATTATAAATGATAAATAATGCTAATGTAGATATAAAATCGATATTTTTTTTGAAAATAGCCTACTATGATCAAAACCAAAAATGCTTTAAATTGCATTTTAAAACATATCTAGGTATTATAAATGATAAAGAATGCTAATATAGATATAAAATCGATATTTTTTTGAAAATAGCCTACTATGATCAAAACCAAAAATGCTTTAAATTGCATTTTAAAACATATCTAGGTATTATAAATGATAAAGAATGCTAATATAGATATAAAATCGATATTTTTTTGAAAATAGCCTACTATGATCAAGATCAAAAATGCTTTAAATTGCATTTTAAAACATATCTAGGTATTATAAATGATAAAGAATGCTAATATAGATATAAAATCGATATTTTTTTTGAAAATAGCCTACTATGATCAAAATCAAAAATGCTTTAAATTGCATTTTAAAACATATCTAGGTATTATAAATGATAAAGAATGCTAATATAGATATAAAATCGATATTTTTTTGAAAATAGCCTACTATGATCAAGATCAAAAATGCTTTAAATTGCATTTTAAAACATATCTAGGTATTATAAATGATAAAGAATGCTAATATAGATATAAAATCGATATTTTTTTGAAAATAGCCTACTATGATCAAAACCAAAAATGCTTTAAATTGCATTTTAAAACATATCTAGGTATTATAAATGATAAAGAATGCTAATATAGATATAAAATCAATATTTTTTTGAAAATAGCCTACTATTATCAAAATCAAAAATGCTTTAAATTGCATTTTAAAACATATCTAGGTATTATAAATGATAAAAAATGCTAATATAGATATAAAATCAATATTTTTTTGAAAATAGCCTACTATGATCAAAACCAAAAATGCTTTAAATTGCATTTTAAAACATATCTAAGTATTATAAATGATAAAGAATGCTAATATAGATATAAAATCGATATTTTTTTGAAAATAGCCTACTATGATCAAAACCAAAAATGCTTTAAATTGCATTTTAAAACATATCTAAGTATTATAAATGATAAAGAATGCTAATATAGATATAAAATCGATATTTTTTTGAAAATAGCCTACTATGATCAAAACCAAAAATGCTTTAAATTGCATTTTAAAACATATCTAAGTATTATAAATGATAAAAAATGCTAATATAGACATAAAATCGATGTTTTTTTGAAAATAGCCTACTATGATCAAAATCAAAAATGCTTTAAATTGCATTTTAAAACATATCTAAGTATTATAAATGATAAAAAATGCTAATATAGATATAAAATCAATATTTTTTGGAAAATAGCCTACTATGATCAAAATCAAAAATGCTTTAAATTGCATTTTAAAACATATCTAGGTATTATAAATGATAAAAAATGCTAATATAGATATAAAATCGATATTTTTTTGAAAATAGCCTACTATGATCAAAACCAAAAATGCTTTATATTGCATTTTAAAACATATCTAAGTATTATAAATGATAAAAAATGCTAATATAGACATAAAATTGTATTTATATTGTATTTATATGCAGATGATGCAGTATTAGTAAATTCACATGAAAGCACTGAAAACATTGAGACAAAAATATCTTATGATATGAACCTCATTAAAAAGTTTTTAGACAAACAACATTTGTTCCTTAATAAAGAAAAAACAAATTGCATAATATTTCACAATCCTCAAATGAAAATATCAAAACCTGATGAGATAAATATTGACGACAATACGACCATTAAGAGAGTTGATAGCATAAAATATTTGGGAATGATAATGGATGAACACATGAAATGGAATCAACACTATGATCACTTGGAGAAAAAACTTGCGGCAACTGCAGGAATTTTATGGAAGTTAAGACACAAACTGCCAATTATGACTAAAAAACTAATATACCAAACACTATTCGAGACTCACATAAACTATTTATCTCCAATCCATGGAACTGCTGATAATTGTGTTGTAGATCGTCTTCAAAAGATTCAAAACCAAGCTTTAAGGAACGTGTTTGAAATTGATAGAATGGAAGGTAGAGTTGGAATGTACACTCACAAAGTCCAAAATTGTCTCCCGTTACGTGCAATTCATTACGTCAATACAGCATCTTTTGTATACAGCAACCTCAAGAAAAATATCCATTCTAACATCACATTCTGCAAAGCAGCTGAAAATAGAAGAACGAAAGTTAATGGAAAGCTGATAAAGCCTATTTCAAGAACAAATAGTGGAAAAAAAAGAACATCTTGTTATGCTGTAAACATTTTTAATAGCATAAGTAATGATATCAAGAACTTACCACATGTACACGCCTTCAAATGGGCACTAAAATGCAGCATAAGAAATGAAGATTTCATAGCATCATGTCTCAATGGTCAATACATTAAAAATTACATAAATACCTAAAAGTAAAACAAACAAAAATTAATTATTTATGAAAACTTACTCAACTAAATTGGAACGTTTTACTCTGGTGCGAAATCCTTATCCGACTGTTTTATACCAGATGCAGCTTGCTTCATTGAATGGCATCGTTGAATCACTTAACTAAATTAATTATTCTGATCAGCACAGTTGTAAACAAAAACAAAAATTAATTTCACCACAAGACTTAAAATCAACACAAAAATTTCAAACTTTAAAAATTCAGTTAAAAGGAAAAAATAATGAGAGGTTTTATGCAGTTTTTTCTACTTAAACTTACGATTTAATTCACACAAGAAGACAAATAATTATTCGATAAGTTAATTTTACAATTCCATAAATCTCTGTTTTAAATTCAATTAATTTTTCGACTAAACAAACACAAAACTTATAAATTTAAAAATTTAATTTAAAAAATTAAAAATACCGTAAAAAAATACCGTTAAATTATAAAGTAATTTCTTTGTGAGCTCTTTAAAGTTTATTTTAAACGCTGTAACTCACAATTCCCGTCCTCGATATGAGGAATTAAAGTTTTCAAATAATTACAATGTAATACAGCCATGACGCTGCTTTGGCTTAATTAGAATGAATAAAGCAATAATAATAATAATAATAATAATAAAATCGATGTTTTTTTGAAAATAGCCTACTATGATCAAAACCAAAAATGCTTTAAATTGCATTTTAAAACATATCTAAGTATTATAAATGATAAAAAATGCTAATATAGATATAAAATCAATATTTTTTTGAAAATAGCCTACTATGATCAAAATCAAAAATGCTTTAAATTGCATTTTAAAACATATCTAGGTATTATAAATGATAAAGAATGCTAATATAGATATAAAATCGATATTTTTTTGAAAATAGCCTACTATGATCAAAACCAAAAATGCTTTAAATTGCATTTTAAAACATATCTAAGTATTATAAATGATAAAGAATGCTAATATAGATATAAAATCGATATTTTTTTGAAAATAGCCTACTATGATCAAAACCAAAAATGCTTTAAATTGCATTTTAAAACATATCTAAGTATTATAAATGATAAAGAATGCTAATATAGATATAAAATCGATATTTTTTTGAAAATAGCCTACTATGATCAAAACCAAAAATGCTTTAAATTGCATTTTAAAACAAATCTAAGTATTATAAATGATAAAAAATGCTAATATAGATATAAAATCGATATTTTTTTGAAAATAGCCTACTATGATCAAAATCAAAAATGCTTTAAATTGCATTTTAAAACATATCTAAGTATTATAAATGATAAAAAATGCTAATATAGATATAAAATCGATATTTTTTTGAAAATAGCCTACTATGATCAAAACCAAAAATGCTTTAAATTGCATTTTAAAACATATCTAAGTATTATAAATGATAAAGAATGCTAATATAGATATAAAATCAATATTTTTTTGAAAATAGCCTACTATGATCAAAATCAAAAATGCTTTAAATTGCATTTTAAAACATATCTAAGTATTATAAATGATAAAGAATGCTAATATAGATATAAAATCGATATTTTTTTGAAAATAGCCTACTATGATCAAACCAAAAATGCTTTAAATTGCATTTTAAAACATATCTAAGTATTATAAATGATAAAGAATGCTAATATAGATATAAAATCAATATTTTTTTTGAAAATAGCCTACTATGATCAAAA